TTGCAGTATCGATGTATTATTTTGCAGCAGTGGATTACGGCGTGAAAATCGAGTTCCACAGCACATGGATGGCAGCAGGAATACAAAGCCCAGCAACGCTGCTCACCTGGCACGAGGCTGCAGGTTTCGTGTCCTGTATCTCCCACAAACACCAGCGAGCTGAACTGCTAGAAGTACACACAGGACCACAGTGTTTTATTTCTTCTAGTCTAGAATCCATTTAAAAAATATTCCCCCCCCCCCCAAAAAAAAAAAAAAAAAAAAAAAGCTCCAGCCACTATTTAGATCCCCAGGGAATCCTCTGTTGTGTCACATCTTTCTAGAGGTAGATTAAAGGGAAATTTTAAGTAACATGACACAGTTGTTTTAATTCTATTATCCCTTAGGCTTGGGCATTAAGTAGTCAAATGACACCTACCTGCACACAGGTAGAGCATCTGCTCTCTCGGGAACTTGCAGAAGTATTTTGTCATCTAAATGCTTTTTATGCAAACCCACAGGATTTGACTCTTAAATTTGTACCCCTGAGACACAAAGAGCCTTTTTTTTTTTTTTTTTTTAAGTCAAGATGAAGAAAAACCTGTTCCCTCTGACAAAGCCAGTTTTAACACACAGCTTAAAAATTCTAAACCTTCAGTGTTTTTTTCAAGGGGCTGCACTGACCTCTCACAGTCCAGGCTGCAGGGTGGCCTTTAAATAAAAGCTGCTTTGCTGATTATTCATCCATAACAACATGACGGGATTTATGAAGATGGTTACAGAAACTGGGCTTAGGATCCATCTCAGGATGATGACATTTGACCAGAACAATTCTCAGCAGCTGTTTGAAAGGCTCAGGCACCAAACAATTCCACCTGTTGTTGAAATTCCACCGGCAAGGAATGCAAAAAGCATCTGGAAGTCTAAACAAGACTCTGGGAAGTGTAAGGGTTAGGCAAGGAGAGATGCCACTGGTTTGAGAAAAGCCTCAGCTTGGTCATCCTCCCATGACCCAGGGTTTCTTCATGGCAGTCACAGAGAGCATTCCTGCTTTATTCCAAGACCATGGTACAAAAAAAAGATCAAAAAAAGAGGTTTTGACTCCGTTTTCTTTCCTCATGCTGCTGTTCTTGTCTGGGCATCCAGCACACTCACTGTCCCCTGAAGTGCTGCTCTTGAGTGGAAAAAGAGGCATCTCTGAAAGGGTAAGACAGTGGCCCAAAGTGCTTTCATTCCAATTTTTGTCTTGCTTGAGTTTGCTTAAACTCAAGGAAGTTTTCTTAGTCAAGTGATCCTTCGAGAGCCCTTGCAGGGCATCAGATGTACTTTGCTGGGATCCACGGACTGGATGCTGGAAGGGGGGAGATCTAAATCACCAAAACCAGCACAAAATTCACCACAAAGGGTGTCCTTTGAATCCAAGTCTCCCTGAGGAATATTCCTTTCTAAGGAAGAAACACTATTTACTATATGTACATTTTAACAACCTTAGTCTTTTCCTCCAAAGTCATCCTCATATTGGGATTGTTTAAACCTACAGCTCTTCCCACAGTCCCCATTCCCACTGCAGCTCCTCACCAACTCATCCCTTGCCCTCCTCCAGCACCTGCTGCCCCTTCCCTTCTGGGATCTCTGCTGACACTCAGCCATTCCTTTTCCAGCACCACCAGCCACACCTCACCCCTCCCACGCAAACTGAAATTCTTCAGGGATAAGGGAAAAACTCTTCCCTCAAAGGGACTCCAACCACTCCATAAACACCAGCAGGGGCTCCCATGTCACAGTAAGACCACTATGCCATGGTGTTAGGGAAGGAACTAGGAAAACCCTGGAATTAAGCATCTTGAGGGTCAACCAGAAACTGAAAAGAGGGATGAAAATTCCATCTTTCATTTATCCTCACGCTCCTACATCCTGAACACCCAGGGGAAGTGCTGTGCCACCAATTCATTCTGACACTAAGCACAAAAGAGCAAGACAAATTACGGGATTAAATTATTGCCTATCAGAACACATTTAGTTTGGCAACTGGTTACAGCCAGAATGAACAAACCTCAATAATCCAGAGAATGAAATGTATTCATTAGCATGGTAATATAATTAAGAATGATCCAAGTTATTTGCTTTCAGATTGTCTTTTAGTACTCCACAACAGTCCATCATAGCAGCTCACACGCTCTACTCAGAAGAGGCCACTATCTAAAATTCTAAGAAAAATACTTCAATTTATTGTTCATTTTTAATTTAATAGATGGTGATCAAGGAAGCATCTCATTTTTCATCTTCAGCCTTGAAAACTTGCTATTCCTTAGAAATCCAGTTATTTCCAAATGGCTGAAGCCTGGAAGTCTCCTCTCTTGGAGGCAGTCACATTATGCCTTTTCATTAATGTTGCAGTAACAGACACAATAGAACCAGTATCCAACAGGCAAACAACAGCACTTATGTTACACTGACTTGGAAGTGATGAAGTGAAGGTACTGGAGAGGAATATTCCCGCTACAAAATAATCTCACTCCGACCTTAACCCTTGCAGAGATGCTGTACTTGCTCTGACGCTGCAGTTATCTTGGAGCAGCAATTACTTTAAGTGTTACTTCAGAGATTTTTCTTTTGTTGAGGACACCTCCCTATGCCAGGACAGGCATCCGTCTCGTGTTACCACTTGGAGTGTTTCCTTACACTGTTGGCAGTTTGGCAGATTCCATTCCAGAGCAGCCTTGCACTCCCAGAACCCCTTTCTGAACCAGCACTTCAGGGCACTCAACACTGACCCTTCACAAGAGCCCCCTCTGGATGGGTGTGATCCCCAGATTTTCACCCTGATTTTCAGGGGTTAACACCTGTCATTATGGGCCCTGCACGTGAAAGGTAGCTGAAAAACACAACTTTGGCTCCACCTTTAAAAAGCTGAAACTGTGAGGGACTGGAGCCCCACCATGCCCTCAAGGCAGGGTCTTACCACCCACAGCAGTCCCCAGGGGATTGCATCCAATTAGGACTAACTCCATTCTTTCTCTCTTTAAAACCATGGGGGGAATATTAACTAAATTGCACAGCAATCACTTCAGAACACATGATTTGAAAATAGTGGGTAATAATATAATTTGCCCGGGCTCTTGAAAGATCCCAGCTGTTTAATAAACATGAAGAACTTACCTCCCAACCAGCCTGACAGGACCTCTTTGCCCAGTTTCTCTTTCTCCTCCAGCACAAGGACTTCTAGCAGTCCATGTGGCTACCAAGTGCAAACATGAGTACTGCCACAAATCAAGCAAAGTGAACTCCAAACAATCCAAATTTTTCATATCCCTGTACTTCATATCACTTCCAAATCATCATCCCTGGCAGTAGGAGACAGTCACAGCAAAACCACTGAGGTTCCAGCAATCAGGAATCCACAGGTAAATCCAGCACCAGAGGAGCACCATGGACAAGCAACAAGTTCTCTCACATGAGAGTATTTGCAAGACCATGGAGGAGAGTTCTAAAAAAATGGGGTTTTTTGGTTGCCTTTTTTTTTTTTTTTTTAAGAAATGTTCAGTATTTCTCCTTACTGTTAAATGTGTTATGTATGAGAACCAGAATTCAGCCCGCTTCAGTTTGCCAGACTAAAGGAAATGCAATGTTTGAGGCACTAAGTCACTGAAGTTCTTTGAGACAGTTTCTTGGTTGTTTAATCAAACAAACATCTCAAACAAGACCATTTTACCAGTTTTTGACTGCAGCCACCACCTTACATAACACCATTCAGAACTGTTAAGGGAATCATTTCAGAAGTATGAGGAACAAACCCAGGTAACAGCAGTAAGACATGGACAAATGTAGGTGAATCCCGCACATAAGTTCATGACAGATGAAGTAACACTCCACTAATTCAGGAAATGAAGACATTGTTTTTAAAAGCTCTTCAGTACCTGTCACTTGACTTCTGTTGCCTCAGGAAATAAAAAAAAAACACACTAGGCAAGATACAACAGGGAGCTTTGAGCTTCACAGTCTTAAGTTGAGCTGAAAAAAAAATTGTATTTAAGGAGACCTCACCCTTTCTTCAGAAACTAAAGCAAGTCCAAACACCTTTTTTGGCCAAACAAGATAAAGACAGCTTTCTCCTGGGAAAAGTCTTGGCAGGACATCAAGTTGAAAGAATTTTATACACTAATATCAGAAGTTTAGCCAGCTTAAAAGCCAGAGACTCTAAAGCCAAAGAGCAATGTATTCCACGTGTAACTCAGGAAGGGTGCTGAAATGTATTCCCCCACCATCCTCTTTTTTAGTTCAAAGTACTTTTTTCCAGGCCTTTGTGAGTTTGGATATGAAAACATTTGTTCACAAGAGGGAATTTCAACCTTGTACCACACCACAGAAGTCTACAAGATACACACCAGAGTAAGAAATACTCTGCTTAGCAGTAGCATTTCCTAGAATTAAAACAAAGGCACACAGCAGGTTCAATTCTTCAGCTACAGAGTCAAAAGCAACTGCAAAAACAGATCCTATTTTTCCTTCAGATGTAACTGATGTAGCATCAAATGTATTAAATCCTGGCACGAGTCAAACGGGTCACAGTTCACCAGGTAAATGCACAGAGCCACCATTCTGCCCCAAAGGATTTCCAGACCGGGCAGGCACAGGCCTCACATATAATAATCACTTAGTGAATTAACTATTACAAAAACTACCACCAAAAAGTGACTTCTTGTAACAACTTAATGGCTAAAAGAGCTTACTGCAAACACTGCAAACCAGTGGAACATTGCTGGGACATCAGGGAATGCTGGGGGACTGTGGGGTTGACAGGTGTACAGGCTCTCATGAACAGCCATGGATTTCACTGCAACCTCTGAACTCCCCCAAGAAGTTTCCCAAGAATAACTTTGTGGAAAAGACTCGTGAAAATCATCACCATCACTAGCTCCCTTCAGTACCTCCAGCCTTTACCCCTTCCAGGCAGGAACAGCACAGTGGGGGTAAAGCAGAGCTTGGAATCTCCACCACCACAGCTAAATACACCCAAAACCAGAACTCAATTTTTTATTTTTGCTTTACATTTCCAAGCATCTCCCATTTGATACCATGGTAAACTGAATGGTCAACGAAATTATTTGCTCTTTTTAACTCAATGTTTACATCAAAAAGCATTCAAATACAGAGTCTTAAGTAAACTACTGCAACAACAATATTGATGCTTCTAATAAAGACTGACAAAAAGAGCTCAATCCAAGGCATTGCTAAGTAGTTCAGTATTTTGCAGTTTGCCTAATCAAACAATTTTGGCTTAGCAGAACATTCACAAAAGAAAGAAATCAAAATAAAACTGACTTCTATTTCCAGTTCAACTGCTGACTGACAGGTCTCAAGGCAGCCTTTGATTTTCCAACAATCTTCTGACTACGCTAGGGGGATTATGTTTACTTACCACAGAGAAAGCTGAGATTTGAGAAGCATAAAGTGCTGCAGAGAAAGAAATACAGGTGCTGAGTAGTATTACTCCACAGAAAAAGAAAAGAAAACTGGTTATTTTAAACAAGAAGTTTATTTAAACAACAAGACGCTTTACTTGAAGGGAAAACTATCTAGGATTTTTTTTCCTTTTTTTTTTTAAAGAGTAATTTACCCCTACTTAGACAGAGATTGCTCTACATGTAACAGCTACGTACAAAAAAGTTATAAAATTGCCCTTGGTTTTACAATGATAAAAGAAAAACATTGAAATTATCCAATCAAACAAGGTATGCAAGGTTTTTGTTTTTAAACAGTGAGAGCAAAATAACTTACTGGAATATAAAGATAAAAGTAGAAGGAGCATGCCACTAACGGAGAGAGGGGCATTTTCACAGAACCAGTTTGTTTTCCCACCCCATCTCCATTAAATGTTGATCAAAACATACCATTGGCCATTTAGTTAAAAAAAATATGCATTATGTCTGTGCACGTCACCAGTTACTTTATGTACAATAGAAGGAATAGGAAAAAAATCAAGAGAGAAGAGAGAAAACTATACTGCAGTAGTCAGGATGTGGCTGAACCAAGTCTCATTTTTCTAATTGTGAAGTGTTGCCTGCGGGAGCACAGTTCTGGAGAGGAAAGTAGCAGGTTCTTTTTTGTGTGTTTGTTTTAGTAAACTCCTCCTGTTTGCTGCTGGAACACATCAATTGTATCTTCATCCTCCATTTCCAACTATAGCAGAAAAGAGAAAAAAGGCTTTCAGCTCTTCTCAGATCTCTGCCACAGGGCTGGGTTGTTCTTACGGTTCCTATCTTTGTGTTTACTTTTTAACCAGACCAGCCCCACTCCCCTCCACCCTCACCCCTTTGCACATTTAACCTCACTAACTCCAAAGCAAAGAAACTGCATAAAAAGAAAAGCCAGCTCATAACTGTTGTCCTGGAATGAATTCTGATGTTAACTTCAGAGTGCACTGCATGGCTCCTATAGAAAAGACTCCCAGTATTTTACTTCTGTTGCCTGCTTTGCCACTGCACCTTTGTTCTCTTATTTACTCCCTCAGTTTACCTTAGAACATTGCCACAGTTCCCCTTGGCTGCTGCTGTTCCAACGTGCAAAATGGCTACAGCACCGAAAGAGCAGCCTGGAATTAAGGCCTCTTCCCAAGCAGGCAGTGAAACAAAGGATCAGCAAGCACAAAAAACCCTGAAAACCCTTTACATGTAGCCATGTAACAAACTGCCAGTGAGGAACAGCAATACTTCATTGAGAGAATTCTCTTTTCTTGCTGTGATTTTTACAGTTGATATTCCTGGGATGTTTACGGCCCCTACTGACAAAATCTCTACGAAGACTGAAGGAGCTGCCATAACTAATGCAAGTTTTATTTCTAAACAGTCCCAATTGCTGTTCAGGAAATCAAACTGGTCCATGGCATTTACCACAGCTATAAATAGACTGATCCCAAGCTTCAGCAATACAGGGATGGAGAGAAAAGCACCCTGTTGCCTCGATTACCAGTATTCCAAGTTAAAAAGTTGCACAGACTGTGGCCATAAGAGGCACATTCTTTGAAGCAACAGCTTCGAAAACTCAGACCTAAAAACAAGAGTCTCTTATTTCATAACAAGTGGTTCTGAACAGCAGTTAAAACTGTATCACTTGGACAGGCTGATTAAACACAGCTCCGGAGAGCAGTACAGAAAAATGCTCAAGAGTCACAGTGAACCATTCTGTTCTCGGAATGTTCTTTGTTCAGCCACTTAGAAACAACCCAAACTTCTCCATGTTCATTAATTTTATGCTGCTGAAACAGCTTCAAATTATAAACAACAGAAAATTACCTTTGTGTTATATATTGCATTTTGCAAGCTTGCAAACAGGATCTCTGACAACATCCTGACAAGCTTTTATGTAAAAAAATAAAGCCGTTGCTTCAAGAAGAACTCAGTTCTTAAATTACCATCCTTACCTCAGAGCCATGACTCAATCAAGTGACAGTTTCACAGGACCCACCATCTGTACACTGCACTTAATTTTCTTATTACAATGACAGAGACTCATTACTCAAAACACTAGAGAAAGTCCTGGAATCTATTTCTAATAATTCTAAACTAGTTACACCAAAGTAACGGTAAAGAAAAATCCAGTTCTATCACTAATAGATACATTTACACAAGTATTTTATAGGAAGGCAGAAGCATCAACTCCTGTAGCAAACTTGCAGGGTGTTTTTGCAGTTCTTTAGCCTTGCTTTTGCTGTTTACCTGTGCAGGTGTGTCTGTTTCATTAATTGGCTGCCCATCGAACCGGAATCTGATTTGCCTCATTGACAACCCCTGGACAAAGAGAAGCAACACAAAGGGACGTTAAGGCTGGTGTAGAAGTACTCACTGGTTTGCTCTTGAGCTTGTCACTGAATTGCAGCACAATCATTAAAAGCCACCCTAATGCAGGACAGAGTTTTTGTCCTCCCCTCATGCCCTGACTTTTCGGCATTTCACTCCAAATCCCTGCAATCTGTTTTGTATTAAACATTGCATTGTGTCCAACAACTCAGAGAAGCAACAGTGCCCCCACTGACTGCGAGTTAAAATAAAGCCATTCCTGGTACGCTCCAAAGGCCAGGAGGTTCATTGTGCTTTTGAATAATTCACTGAAAAAAACAGATGCAACACTCCAGGTAACAAATGTCAAGCAGTGATATTCAATACTCCTTTCTGATCTGCCCCCAAAACAAAAGGCATTCTTAAAATATTTTGCCCAGAAATGAAACAACAATATTAATCTTCAGCAACAAAGAGTAAGAAATGGGAACTTTTTATGTCGAACTCCTACTATCAAGAAATCAATGTTTTTCCATGCACAGAAGGAACTTCCAAATAAAATAAAGGAATGTTCTACTGCCAGAAATTATTGAGTGGTATTTTGAATGAGCATTTCTACCACATAACACTCATTTTGCTGACCTCTTCCATCCCTGTAATACTTCTCATTCTCCCCTGAGCCAACAGATTGAAAAACGTAACTTGGGAGCAACAACTAATAACATCAGCTCCAAAATCACTGGTGAGTTTGCAAAGGTGTTTTACATCACATTCTGCAGGAGAAGGTGAATGACATTTAGGGATACAACCAGAGCCTTGGGCTCTGCTTCCTTCCCAGTTCTGTCTATTCCCTCTGGAGTATCTAAATATCCAAGAAGCCTCGTTGGGTTTTGAAACCAATCCAGTGGATTGCAGGGTCGTGCTTTGGCATCTCTGAGTTAGAACAGAAGCCTTCACTTAGCTTTGCAAGAGCGGATGTAACACACAAAGGAAAACAATGTAGTAATTATTTCTGAGGAGCAGATTTGTCAGGGAAACATATTTTAATAAATACAAGTAAACTTTTCTTATTAACTTAATATTTCATAGCAAAAGGCCTTCTCTGGCAGGACTGAGACTCTGCAGTGTTCACTCAGAGCATCCTCTGGTCTGAGAAAACCCTGTGGCTCAGTGTCGTGGCAGCAACGTGTTTCTGCACAGCAACATTTGGTTGGAGCCCTTTTCTCTGACATTACGTTGCTTAAAATACACATTTCCTCTTCCCAAAAGTGTTGTTCATTGCAGGTTCCTGACAGCTTTACATGCTAAATAAATGTTAGCTGAAAACATACTGAAAAGCTCTACTTTGGTGGGATTAGTGTCCACAGAACACCGAGCTTATGTTCCATGGATGATTTTTTCACCACTTAAAATAATCACGAGTAGTCTTCATCTTCTAAACAGATCATTCAAGGGTTAGTTACTTCCATTTTAGGTCTCCTACACACACTAAACGATTTTCATTCTTTAAAGCTGCCAAATCCTCTACTAGACCACCTCTCCAAAGTGAAATCTAAAGTCCACAGCTGAAGGATTTTAAGCCTGAGAGTACCTGGTTAGGTAAAAAAAAATACATGAATAAAACCTAACTTTTAGAGACGTGCAGAACAAACGCTTTTAAACAAAGTCTGAGAAGCACCTAAGAAACAAAATGTAAAGACAGCTCCATCTCCACAGAAATATTCTTTGGATATCTACTGGATAAAACTAAAATCAGAACAAATCTCTCCCACTATCAAGATTTACTAATTTCTTTTCCTCCAATTGACACCTGAGGTTTTTTCTGCTAGTTTTGTTTTTGGGTTTGGTTTTGTTTGGTTGGGTTTTTTTTTAAGTAGAATAGACTTTTTGGGCAGTTGTACAATCTTACTTTTGCTCATTTCAAAGTAACTGAAATATGAATGGTTACTTCTTATTTCCCAAGACTTTACAGACAAATAACCACTCCTCAAAATCCCAAAAAGACAGATACAACTGGACTTTACGACTGGAAAAAGCAACACAGGGTGATTTGCAAAACATAACAAGAGTCTGTATGACTGAGGTAGGAAAAACGAGCTCACAAGTTCAGGCATTCACTGATTTATCCCCAGAACACTCACACAAGAACATATTCACATGTTCAGTAAGAGCTGATTTTTTCCTCTCTTTATTCATATCCTATTGTGGCACAGGGTAAGCCAAAGGGGTCTTACCACTCTATGGGTGAATTGCAGTTTGTTTTTCTTGGTGATTAAATATTTTATTCTGACTTTACTTTTATTTAATACTATCACTGAATATTTCTGTTTTGTTTCAAAAACCCAACATTTTCCAAATTCTGAACGCTTTTGAAGAGCTGGAACTTTTTAAAGGTATACAGTCATTAAAAAAAAAAAAAATCATGGACAGCAGAGACAAAATTTTCCTTATCAAAAGCTTCAGAAGAAAATGTTCCATAGCAATACTCCAACAGGTGTTTTTAAAACTTGTAGTAGCTGCCTGCAGCTGCCACCACTCCAGCAATATACATGATTTTTGTCCCTCAGAGGAATAATTTGTCAACTAGGCCACAAGAGAAAAACCAAGGTCATCATTAAATGTAGAAGCTCCTTCTCAAACTAAATATCCTCTCATGTCAATACAGTAATACTAAGATAACAAATCACAAGTCAGTGACCAGACCAAGAAGTTACTCAGAGCTATAAAAATCCCTGATTATCACTCAACCCTCTCTCCTAAGTTCATACCAAACCCACCCTTTCCAGGCTGATATTTCTGAGCAGCAGAGCAGCAGTTGCCTCCCAAGAGCAGATTTTACAGATAACAACCCATCTTTATTTCACCCATTTCCTGTCACAACCCTCTCAGTCCCCCCTGCAACAGACCCTCAGGACAATACACTTTGCACAACACAATTAGTTTCAGTTAAACCTCTACCATTTTGCATATTTGCACAGCTTTAAGACTGCAAGTGTCTTCATCTGTCCCCGTGGAGATCACTGTCCCCCAGACACCGTTTCTCCTGAGATCATACCTGTCGTTCACAATAGGCTTTCATTAGTTTACTAAGTGGTGTGTGCCTCTTAATCTTAAACTGCACCACAGACCCATCTTGCCCTGCCACCTTCAGATTAATGTGGTCATTGTTTTCAGTCTTCACTCCTTCCTGTGGAGGAAATAAAAGGAAAGAAAAAAAAAATAACCAACACTTTTTTTTTAAAAAAGGTATGAAACAAGAAGTTAACATTTTACCAAAGTGCAACAGGTCATTAAAGAAAAGGAGGAAATAAAGATACTACAGCTGTTTACTGACTTGAAACCTTGAATAGGAAATAAAGGACAGGAGTTTTTATTTGCAAATTTAAAGAAAAAAAGCCATGTACAAAAAAACCCCCAACCCCAAATCCTACTAATATTAGCTGTCATTCTGGAGACTGGCAAAGTAGCAATGAAGAGTTACTAGGCCAGGGGTTTAACAGATTTAAAAAAAAAAAAAAAGTTATTTCTATCAAGGGCACAATAATATGCAACATCAACGTTGCCAATGAAAGGGATGAAGTTATCCGTGTTATAACAACGATCTGTTATAACTCTGTTTTGTGTTATAACTGCGATCCCAACCAGCAGCAAGGCTCTTTCTCGCAGCATCTCAAACTTTTTCCTACCGGTTGAGGTACTTGTGAAGAAAACTTTCGAGATACTTTGAAGGCCTGTATTTGAAAGGGCGACAAAACCTGAAGCGACCCAAAGCCTCCCCTTCAGAAGAGGTTTAAGAACACCTCCCCTAACACGCAGCCCGACCCTCCCGCTCCCGCTGGGAGGGGAAAACCGCGGAGGAGCAACTTCTAGCTGGGCCCCTCGTGTTGTGGGGGCAGGGGAAGGGGATCCAGCCCGTCCCGCTCGGGGGCTGCCCCGAACCCACATCCCACAGCCCACAGCCCAGCTTTGTTTTCCCTCGTCCCTGCGCGCCGGGACCCGCCATGTGTCCGCTCCGCGCCCTCCGCCACTTCGAACTCGCGTTAAAAATTGTGGGGGGAGAAAAAGGAAAAAAAAAAATTTAAAAAGGAGAAAAAAAAAAAAGCTTCAAACCATCCATCCCCTCGTCCGTGTCCCTGTTGATTCCCGCGGTGGGGAGCGGGGCCCCCGCGCCCCCCCCCGGCCCGGAGCGGGGCCGGAGGCGGCACAAAGGGGCCGGAGCCGAGCGGGGACCGTGTGGGCAGCGGCGGCCGGGGCGGCCACGGGGATGCTGCGGCCGAGCGGCGGCAGCAGGAGGAGGAGGAGGAGGAGGAGGAAGGCAGCAACAACCGCCTCCAGACCTGCCTCTCTCCCCGCGGAGGGCGGGAAGGCGGCCCGGGCTCGCCCCCCCCTCCCCGGGGATCCCCCGCCCGCCTCGGGAGCCGCGGCCGCGGCCCCCCCCCAGACCGCGCAGGAAAATGGCGCGCAAAGGCGGCGCGGGGGCCGCGGGCCGGGGCCGCCGCCTGAGGGGCCGAGCGCGGCGGCGGGAGCGGCGGAGCGCGCCGGCCTCACCTTGGGCTTCTCGTCGGCCATGGCGAGTCGGCGATGCGGGGGCGGCTCGGAGCGCGCACAAAGGGGGGGCAGAGCCGGCCGAGCGCGGCGGAGAGAGGGAGAGAGAGGGACAGAGAGAGGGGAAGGCGGGGGGGCCCGGGAGCGCGCACGCACAGCCGCGGGGCCGCGCCTTGCCCCCGTGCGTGCGCGCACCCGCCGCGCTCTCCCCCCCCCTTCCGAGCGCGTCCCCGCCGCCCATTGGGCCCCGGCGCGCGGGGAGGGGGCGGGGCCAGGCCGAGGCGGGGGGAGCGGGAAGGGGGGGGGGGGAAGGGGCCGGGGGAGGGAGCGCGCGCGCGCCCCGTGGCCGTTACATAACGCGGCGGCGGCGGGAGGGGAGGGGCGCGCGCGCGCCCCCGGGCCCGCGCTGCCCGCGCGCTGCGTGCGCGCGCCCCCGCCCCGCCCCGCGCGGCGGGCATTGTCCTCCGCAAAATGGCCGCCGGGCCGCCCTCACGGCCTCCTCGCGCCCTCCGCCAACACGCCCTGCCCTGGCGATCCCCCTCGTGTAATGACCTCCTCAGATACTGAATCTCCCCAAAGCCGACTCGCCACAGCCCTATCAGTGTCCCCTCAGCACCTCATGCTGCTCTCCCCACACACACACCCTCCCCTGAGGATCCTTCTTGTCTCAGCCTCATCTTGGGCCTCCTCATATTTTAAATCTCAGAGCTGCCCGGCCGCCCAGCAGTGCCCCCTCAGAGCCGCCTCAGTGCCCCACACAGTGTTCTCTGCACACACACCTTCCCCTGGCCATCCCCGGCCCGACTGAAGGGGCTGCCAGGGAGCTGGTGGAGTCCCCATCCCTGGAGGTGTTCAAGGAAAGGCTGGACATGGCGCTCAGTTCCCTGCTCTGGTTGACGTGGTGTTGGATCAAAGGTTGCACTCGATGATCTCAGAGGTCTTTTCCAACCCAGTTGATTCTGTGATCCCTCTTCTCTCAGCCTCATCCTGGGCCTCCTCAAATCTTCCCCCCCGACTCGTGTCCCTTGCTGTGTTATGGATGACACTGATGGAGGCTCTGGGGTCTGGCACCCACACGGTGCCCTCCAAACCCCCTGGGCTGCCCCAGTGAGGGAGAGGTTCAGTGCCTGCTGAGGGAGCAGAGTCCCGGCTACATCCCAAAAATGCACCTTCAGTTGAACTAAATTCGGTCAAAGTTTATGTGTGTTCTTCAGCAAGCTGAGGGCATGATGCAGCACCCCAAAAATTACATCACAGGATATGCCAACAACGATGTGATTTCTTCAAGTTCATTCCAGTGGAAGGGAAGAGGAAATTTTCAGCAACTCCAGGGATTTCATAGGTTCCCACAAAATTGTTTTGGTGCCTTTTTTCTTCAGCATTACACCCACCGCAATCATTTGTTCCTCTGCATCACATAGATGGAAAAGAAACACCACAAAAATGACCCCTGTCAATACCTCAAGGATGGATTTTCCAGGTGGGCATCATTCCACACGGATGCCGCTCCACGTGGTCACACAGTCTGGGTCACAGCACAGAGGTGGCCATGTGGTCACACACACCCTCTGCTCCCAGCATGAAAAAACTTCCTGCGCCACTTTGGAGATGTTCCTTGTCCATAATGAACTACTGAAATAGCAAAATATCGAGTGAAGAGAAACTCTGCTTACAGGCAGAGCCCAGGCTGCCAGGCTCCCTTTTCACTGTCAGCTCTGATCCCCCTCCTCTGCCTGTGTTATTTTACGTTCCAGCTCCTTCCGAGTACAGACACAGGGATTGTTTTTTTTTTCTGGAAACTGAAGAACAGTAACACTCACTGAGCAGAGGAAGTTAAAGCCAAACCTTTATCCGAGTCCACAGTTGAGAAAATAACACAGGCACAGCCCTACCTCAGGCAGGCAGGCAGGCAGCTGAACTTCCACAAAATGCTGCTGTGAAGCCTTTTACCATCTCCTTGTGGTCCAGGCTCCCATATATTGTAGAACTTTCCCTCTGCTTCAGTACTCTGAAAGATCGAATTTAATCTAAAATTTCATAGAACCTCTCACTTTTGGTATTTTACTCCTTCTGAAGAGTCTTCTTGAGTCAGTTCTGGAAAAATCCCAAGCACTGGAAGCACTCAGTCTGACCCAAGAAGGCAACAGATGCTGTTTCAAATTGTGACTGAGACTCAGACACTCCTTTGAGCTGTGCTTCCACTCCTACCTGTGTCATTTGCCTTGATTTATCATCAAAAGACTGTTCCAATCACTTGATCCTGCCTGTTTTCTCTGACTTTAATTACTCATGCTATTATTTTTCTATTTATTTCAGTCACAGGGAGCTGAGAAGCACCTGTGGCTAGAGAAGACAATGTGCTTCTGCCCAAATCCCCCTCACATATGTGATGGTTGATCAGCCTCCTTTTATTTGAGCTCTGAAGAGCAATGGGCAAGCCCTTTGGACCTTCTAAAGTCCATCATCATCACTAAGCAGCAGAACTACATGACAAGGAAATAAAGCACCTTAATCCCCTCTCTATTCTTCTACCTCATCCATGGCATTTTTAAGCAAGACTCCAAACCCACAGGGTAGTTCAGAGAACAAAGGCCAAGTGCCAGTTCCCAGTGGACCTTAAGTTCTATTTTTAGAAATGATGCAACATCTCAGAGAAATGTGAGGAAAGGCATCACAAGGCTGATGTTGCACGACCGACCGTCCTGTTTTTATTTTGCTGTTGTCATTTCTTGCCCCTCCCTCCTTGAGGATCCCTGTGCTTCTTTGGGAGGTGGGATGAAACTGCCTGAGGCCTGAGCACGGCATGAGAGAACTGAAGGCAGGAATGGCTTCAAGAGAGACACACATTAAGGCAGCATCACAAATAGAACAAATGTGCTAAAAAAGACAGGAAAATACTCTAGATTTTATGAGGACATATGGGATTGCGCTGCCACTGCAGGAGTTAGATGTGCTCAAAAAGGCTGCAAACTGTTTCAGCTGTACCAGCATTGGCCTCACCGCCAATTACACAGATCCCAAATCACAGAGCAGGTTTCTACAAACCTCATCTCTATGTGGCTTTTCTTTTTACATAGCAACAGAGGGAACTCTGAGAAAGCAGAGGCTCGGTGGAGCTGACAATAAGCAGTGCTAAAACCTGCAAAGGGACCGGCAGCACTCGGAGCGAGCGGCGGGGGAGAAGCCACACTGGGAACAACAAAGGCCAGTCCTGCAGGGCCGGGGCTGCAGCAGAGGGGAGCAAAGCAAAGCTTTTTGTCCCTCTCAGCTCCTCCTCTTCAATGCAAGGAGCTGAAGGCAAGTGAATAGGGAAGCATCCCAGTGAGAATTCCTGAGACATTCCAACTCTGGCGGGGGAAAAAAAAAAAAGAAAGAGGTCCACGTGTTGTGTCTTAAAATATTTCCATGCTTTGTTTAATTTTTGTACAGCAGTTTTGTAAGGAAGAAATTTGGTGTATCTTGCAGAGCTCTTTGGCTTAATTCACCAGCCTCTAGTGAACAGGGTAGGGAATACAGGCATTCCACCTGCATTCCCTTCACACCGAGATTTTAAATCATTAAGATTTTTAAGATATTAAGGCAGCTACAGGCAGAAGGTGTGTGCTCCTGCCCATCAGCAAGCATAAGCCTACAAAACAACTCCAGCCCCTCCAGAACTGTGTGTTACTTTGCACTGAGTCCAAGGCAAGGACAGAAAGCAAACAGTAATTTGGAGGCGTAAATGAGCGCATCGAGCTCAGCCCCGACCCTGCAGGTCTGAGTGCTTTACTCAGGCTTTGCTCTTCGTAAATTCTGGCTTAGCCCTGGGAATAGAAATTGCCTTTTGCCCGGGGCCCTGCCTGTGCTGTGCCTTTGCTGTTCACGATGCTGATCATTTCCCCAGTTCCCCAAATAGCTTCCAATCCTCCTGTTTCACAACTTACTAACTCCTATCCTCATCAGACCTTTTTGTTTTTATTATTGCTTTTCCTTATTCTCCTGGCTGTAAGACAGCAATGCAGTTTCTCTCTGCTTTTGCCTTCCTTGCTGGACCCAGAGCCTGTGCTCCAAAGCCTTTCTGAGCAATATGAAGTTCCACAGTGACACAGTCAATCCCAATTTTGCTTAATTACCTGGACTGGACAGGCACATAAGCCTTTTTGGGACAGGGAGCAGGAATAGATATGTGCAGAGCTCCAGGGTTCAAAAGAGGACTAAGAAATGTTAGGATTTTACAGTAAAACTGTTGGAGCAGAAGAGGACACTGCAGAAGATCCACCACCTCAGCCATCAACACTTCTCTCTCCGTGCTGAGGAAGAAAAAAAAACACCAGTGAGGGACAGGCACTCTCTGGGGTCATCAGGCCTTGCAATACAGGTGGTGAAGGTTGGTCACCTGCCTTTGGGCTGCAGGCAGGGCCGTGTTCCCTACACAGGGTATATTCCATCTATATTCTGCCAGTCATAAGAAACTTACGCAGTTGTAGAAGCAGCACCTTACCCTTGAGGAGTGGAGGCAGGAGGCCTCTTACTGCTGGGTTTTCATCCAGTTTTCATTTGTGTCTGGAGCCATTTTAGATCTAGGCATCCCCACTAACATCCTCAGAAGTCACCAGCACAGAGCAGCTCCATTTTGTAAGACAAGAGCTGAGTTTGATTTTGTACAACAGAGATTAGAAATATATGCACATCCCCAGTAACAAAACCCAGGACCCTTACACACAATAAAAAGTGAGGTATTTAAAACTGATGAGTCCGTTTCTCAAGCAGCTTTCTGAGCATTTAAGTTCTCCTACCCTGCAACAAGCCAATCCTGCTGACCTGAGCAGACACCACTTCCTTTCTCAATACAGCTGGTGAGACGACATGCACTTTGCCAGAGATAACTGCTGGCTTTATTTTTATTGGAAATGATGGATGCAGCAGCTGATAAGTAAAAAAGGGCAATTTAGCCGTGGAGTGTTGCAGCATTTGTCATACGAGGACAGCGGATGATTTACGCTATCTTGAAAAATTAATTTTTAAGTGAGCGTCTCTGAAAAGCACCAGCCTGAGAGGGACTGGTTCCAGCTGTGAGGTCAGCAAGACAGCACTGCTAATATTTGTCTTAAAAAGTGTAGCATTGGACAACTTGGTTATTGGGAGGCACAGGCAAAAAGTGAGGAGTGCACAGAGGTGGGAAGGAGAGCAGGATGGGAGGAGCAGGATGCAGTTAGT